GCCCATACCTGCCAAGGCGGTTGACAAAGAGTCCAGTGGAAAAGGAGTCAAGCATTCCGCCCAGGGAGAATATCGCCACGGACAAGGACCAGAGGGTCGTGAGCAGCTCCTTGCTGGGAGGGTTTTGCAACTTCTGGGACAAGGTGCTGTTGATAAATTCTGTAATGATCTGCAAAATAAAATGGTTGGTGAGAGGACAGACTGATACAGCTGGACAGGAACCAGAGAGCAGGGATCATTTCCTCCTGTCATGACTAGATAGGGATGGAAGAGAGCAGCACAGACTGGGGTAGCTCTGCTAGAAGTGCAGAAGGCCTGTCCCAGAAAGTGGACAGCAGGTGGCAGCACTGGTGAGCGTGCTCTGCCCAGTCCTCTGCCTCCTCACAGCGAGGGACCAGTGGGAAGCCCAGCCAGCGGGAGAGGCTCAGAGGAGCCAGCCCTGCTTGCGGTGAGGTGCAGAAAATGAGTGTTCTGTCTTCAGTGACTCAACGTGTTTACCACCTTCTGTCTTCTCCCAGACATTTGAGATACAAAGTGCTAAATTCTAAGTTTTAAAAGTTTTCCCTAATGCTAGTGATAGAACTGGGGGGGGGGGGGACCTTAGGCGGCTGAAAAGATAAGAAGTATGAAATATAAACAACCTTTATTTTGGGAATGCGGGGAGAGCCACCCAGACCCCCTGGGGCGTGGCATCTCCACCCGGGCCGGCGATCTCTCCGTGGAACACGTGGAGTGAGGCACGTAAGTAGCCTTGGCTTGGGGTGGAACCTAAAGGGGGCATTAGGGATGCACAGGTAGCCCATTGGTCTTAGTTTGGCGCCAGAGGCAATTCCTAAAGGTGGGGGAGATAGGAGCTTCCTGGCTTTACCGGCTACAGTATCCGATCTGGGCCAAAACCCTTTCACTGTCCACTCCCTAAGTTAGTTCCCTTGATCCTGGCAGATACCTGCTGGTGATGGCTGTGGGACAGGAACGCACTTGCAGATCTGCCTTCTGTGGTGTAGCACAGATGTGTCTGCTTCTCAGCCGAGGTAAGGGTGACCCCGTCTCTGTTTTGAGTGAAGGGATGTATGCTCAGAGACAGATACATCTGTCAGACAGTCCACCCTCTGCTTTCCTCCAGCTCTGGAGGTGTGGGAAGACCTGGAGACTCTCCTTGACAGAAAAGCATTTCTCTCCATTTTGAATAAGCTTGACCCTATCTCTGTGTATTCATTTGTACAGAGCCATTTCTTTGTCCCTTCAATTGGCTTTAAGCAATATAAATGGGGCTGGCTGAGGAGCTGATTTGCAAAATTTGAAACAAGGCCACAGTCATTGTTTCCCCACCCAGTGACTCCCAAAAAACATGGCTGACCCAGGGAATGGAGAGCTCTGCTCCACACTGTTGTCTGGAACTGAGCCTCAAGATAAGAGGCTATAACCTCCCAGGGCAGAAAAGATTGTACATCAGAGCTGAAGTACTGACCCAAAACATTAGACAGTACCTCAGTTGTGTTATGCAGATTACTCTTTCTGCGTATCACAGAGGTGGTGATCTCAGGTCTCCTACCTAGCAAAGCTCGTGGCACTGTCATATTTTCCTTTTGCTCTCAATGCCACTCATCCCAAGCCATCCTCATGGAGGATGAATAAAACCAGGTTGGAACCTGGGTCATAGCCTTAGTTCTGGTGATCTGCCATCTTGTTTGGACTTAAGAGCCCCTTGGCTCCCCGCAAAAATAAATACACCTTTATTCTTTTCTTGGGCTGCACTGGAAGTGGTAGATTGGTGTCGGGGTCGCTCCCGGCCGGCAGGAAAGACACACGACAAAGTCTGGCGGTGTGCAACCTTGCCTTTATTTATCTCCGCGTGGGCCCCGCGAGGCCTCCTCTCTGCCACCAGCCCTTTCTCGCCAGTGGACTTTCTCTATCTCTCTCTGTGCTTCCTGTCTGTGCTTCTCCCTCGTGGCGGGAGAGGCATTTACTTTTATAGGGTAGCAGTGGCCAATCAGTTCAAAGCGCGCGATGCGGGCTGATTGGCTAACATCAGTTGTTGCTAGGCAGACTATTCTATTGCGCGGGCTGCTTACTAGCCAGGGCAATCAGGGGGCAGGAAGCAGGCGCCAACTTGGCTCACTCGATGGGAGGGGCAATCTAGCTCAGGCTCCGCTCCCACCCACAGGCCCTACGTCCGCCAAGTAAGGCGACCGGTGTCGGCGGCTCCCAACAGATTGGGATTAACTCACTAGAATTCCAATAATTTTTCCATGGGATTGCAAATATAAACTTCCTGAACTGAGATGAGATCCAGGAAAGGGCTCAGTATAAGAGGAATTGTCACAACCTTTAAACACTCCATGTCGTCACAGAACAGAACATTGATTAAACAGCCTGGCCTTATTCTCTTGTGCTGATGGACATCGCCCTGTCCATTAGATACAAAGTGATGGTGTGGAGAAGGCTCTGCACCTGCTCCAGTAGCTACCAACACAGCCCGAAGCCACCACACTTGCAGTTGCAGCTCTGTCGCTTCCTTCTGTGTGGCCTTGGGCAAGTTATGTACCTGTTTGTGCTTCACTTCCTCCAGCTACAAACTGGGGATTCTAAAGTGCCTGTCTCATCGGTCACCATGAAAATCAAATAAGGTGGCACAGATGAAGCCCTCAGACCCACTGGGAATAGCATTAGCACTTGCTAAACCATAGCTACAGTTATTCCTACTTTCACAGCAATGTCTCTAATTCTGACTTTTTCTCTAAGCAGCAGAATTACAGAGTAAGTGATTTTTCTTCAAATGTACCAGTAAAGCTTGGAAAACTGACAGAGAACACTCGGCGAAATCAGCATAGCTGGACTCGTGAATGCACAGGGGCAATCCGGATTTATAGATGCCTGATGATATGTGCCAAGTGGAATTAAAGAATAAGAACAGCAGAGGCCCAACGGCATCTGTCATGTACAGGGACTTCAAGTCCCAGCCACGTGCACTCATCTTAGACTTTTCTGTTGACTTCTTTCACACGATGCAGCGTGCGAAGATCACTCTAGTCCTACAGGGACTTCTTTACTTCATTCTTTTGAGATGGTTTCTCCCCTTAGTCTGGCTGGCCTTGGGCTCGTGATCTGCCTACCTCAGCCTCCCACCTGCTGGAATTACAGGTCTGCATCACCATGCCCAACTATTCCTTTTCATATTTGAGTAAAATTGTGAGGCAAAGCTCTTCATATTTTTCTAAAATCCATTTTTCAATGAAGTGTGTTCCATTTTTGGCTACTCGGAATGTTGTTGCTTTGATGCATATTTCTCTCTTTCTTAGAAACTCAATGGTGGAATTGTGGGGCATATAGTCATTGTTCATTTAGCTTTTGAGAAAGTGTAGAACTGTTTTCTTTTTCTTCTCCTCCGTCACTCCTTCCTGTTAAACTCTTCCACTGCAGCCATACTAGTTCACATTTCCATTAGTCAGTGTTTTCCCATATCCTCACTAATGCTAGTTATTGTTAGGTTTTTCTGATAACTGTTAGGGGACAAGAAACTGCTGGCTACTCCTGTCATGGAGATTCCACCTCTGTTGCCTTTTACAGTTTTTGCTCTTACACGGACATATCCAACAGATCCCATGCAGTTTTTGTACATGGTGTGACAAGAGGCCCAGGCCCAGTGCCAGGTGTGGTGGCTCACACCTGTAATCCCAGCACTCGGAAGACTGAGGCAGGAGAATCATTGTGAGTTCGAGACCAGTCTGGGCTACAAAGTGAGCTCAAGGGCAGCCTGAACTGCACAGAGAGACCCTGTATCAAAAAGACCCCCCAAATAAAAGAGTTCATTTGTACCCAACACCCAATTATCTCCCACACCATTCATAGGCAAGACTATTCTTTCCTGCTGCATGGTCCTAGTGCCCTTGTCATGGGTCAATTGACTGTCGACGCATGGGTTAATTTCTGTCCTAGCAAGTCAGTTCCATCCTATCTACTTTTTACTATTAAAACTATTTTATTTAACATTTTATCTCTAAAACTTCCAAAATTATTATTTATTCAGTTGTTAGAAATGAGCCTAAATCAAATTTGCTACAAGAAAGTTTACTAAGCCAGGTGGGGTGGCTCATGCCTGTAATCCCAGCACTCGGGAGGCTGAGGTGGGAGGATCGTTTCGAGTTCGAGACGAGCCTGGGCTACAAAGTGGGCTCAAGGCCAGCCTGAACTGCATAGCGAGACCCCGTCTCAAAAAAGACAAAAAAAGGAAAGAAAGTTTACTAAAAGGCTTCATAATAATAGCACTGCAATGTTAAACTATATTACAATTATGTGGTTTGCTATTAGATTAATTTGAAAAGTTATAAATCGAGTTGGGGGTTTAGCTCAGTAGTAGAGTGTTTGCCTACTACATATGAGACCCTGGGTTCAATTCTTGGCACTAAAATGTAAAAGTAAAGTGATAAATTTATAAGACTGGCCTTCCTGTGAGCCAGGCAGTGCACTGGCTGAGAAATCAGAAAACCATCCCTCACCCCCACCCCACAAATAACTGACTAATTAGAGGAACTCAGGGTTAGAGGACAACAGCTGAGGTGAAAGGAGTGGGTAGATGTTTGTACTGTTTGGCTGACTTTGCAGGCCTGGGGCTGGAGGTCTGGGCATCTGTTTGGAGCATGGCAGTGTACACTGTGGCAATTGTGGGGGATTTCCACCTGTCTTGTTTTTGAAATCTTGTTTTGTTCCATTTTACTGCTTTTATTCCTGTGTACAGTAACATGAGCAATGATTTTGAAGATAACAATATGCAGTATAACAACCATTGTTAAAAGTCCTCTCATCTTGTTTTCAAAAACCTATAAAGCCATTGTTTTCTTTTTATTGTTGTTTTTTAGAGTTGTTTGCTTCTTGACCTTTTTGTTTTTACTCTTTAAAATAAAGAAAAGGAAAAGAAAAAAATTTTATGAGACTTCAGGAATCCATTTCAATATTTCAGAAAAAGATATTATGATACAAAATATAATTGCACACTATCCCGCACAATATAAAAGATGAAGTAATTCTTTTATTACTTTACTAATTCACAAATGTACATACAGTAAGATTAAAATACTAACAATTGTGTGCCAGGCACGGAGGTGCTTGCCTGCAATCCTAGCTTCTCAGAAGGCTGAGGCAAGAGTATCACAAATTGGAGACCAGGCTGGGTAATTTAGGGAGATTGTCTTAAAATAAAAGAGAAAACGGGCACAGTGTTGTAAGTCCATCGATGTATACTTCATCTTTTTTTAAAATAAGTTCTACGTATTCCGAGTCAGCCTCCAACGCATGATCCCTCTGCCTCTGCAGGATACAGGCCAGCATCACCACTCCCATTTATTCCATTTTATGGTCGAATAGAATCCCACGGTACACAAGGCTATGATTTTTAAAATCGACTTTTCAACTGACAGCCCATTGGGCCTTTCCACCTCCCAGCTCTTTCGATTAATTCTGGCTTGCTCATTCAACTGTGGCTCATGCTCCTTGGATTTAATCACATGTTGGCGATGGAGCAGGCACAACAGCCCAGCCAGCCTCTGCGGGGTGGAGCACAGCTCCGCTCCGATTGCCCAGCCTCCCTCTCGGATGCTGCTCCTGGCACCTTGTTATCCAGTTAGTGTAACTCTGGGAAGAGCATCACACGTATCAAAGTACAAAACCTGGGCCTGGCTGGAGTCAACAGACTCATTCGAGAGAAGAAATTCTCCTCTTCTTGACATGCAAGCTGCACCGCTCCAAGTCCCCACTTGTAACTGGCCACTAGGTTCATGGGTGTTTGTGGGCAACTTTCAGCATCTGTGTCTCCAGAGGACAGTATCACTGAGACATCAGGTCATTACAAGGCGCCTTCTTCACAGGCCTCACGTCTGTTTTTTGTTTGTTTCTGACACAAGGTCTCACTAAGTAGCCCAGACTGGCCTCAAACTCGTGGGGACCTTCCTGCCTAGGACACCGGTATGTTAGGATCACAGTCCTGCACCACCGCGCCGGCCTCCTCACGTCTATTTTAATTGTGATCCCTTACTAAAGTCACCCAAAGGTGACCCACATCTAGTTTCCGTCCCACCTCCCAAGTCCCAGTCCTTATAAAATATACACAAAAATATACACTTGCGCATTAATGCTTGGGGGTGGGGGGGTCAGAGATCACCCAGATTTTGTCATTAGGAGCCCACCGGAGAATGGGGCTCATCAGAAGAGGCTAGGACAGCTCAGATAGCTGAGGTAACAGAGATCCTGACAGGACAACTCTCAGCGCGCTTTGCAACGCTGGCCTCCTGCAGGTCAGAAAGGCATTCAAGATGCTCTTCGCGGGCCCTAAGTTCCGATACAGCCAGGCAGAGGACGACGCTGCGCCCGAGCCTGCGCCGATGGCCGCGTCCTCCAGCTACGCCAGCGCTCCTGCTCTATTTGCAAGATGTATTTTCAAACAGTCATGTACAAATATTTCTCTCGCGGCACGCTAAGAAAGTGAGAACTGCAGAAGGAAGCGCAGACGTGAAGCTCCGCTCTTCCATTCGTTCTCTTCCGCAGGGATGAGGCGCTGCGCATGCGGCTCCTGGGGGCGGCGTTCAAAGCCCCAGCACGCGGAAGGCGTCGCGCAGGTCGTCCACCTCGTAGAGCGGCTGCGGGGACAGGGCGGCCTCGTGAGCGAGCGGAGCTGGGCGGGGCTCCGCGCAGGGGTGGCGTTGTGACAGCTTGTTCTACAGAAGGGGATCTGGGGTGGGACAGGGCAGGACAGGCAGGAGGAGGAGGTCTATGGCCGGGCCAGAGATGCCCTGAAGCCGCTTACCAACAGGATGCGCCGCAGCTGTCTGGACAGACGGACCGAGTTCTCGTGCAGCCCCTCCCAGGCCTTGAATGTTTTCTCATGATTCTCCACAAAAGTGTTCCAACAGTAAAAATAATCTTAACAAAAAAGGAGGTGGGGAGAAGATAGTTTAGGTCCTGAATGGGGAGGAGAGAAACAAACCTTGACCACCACCACCCCCAGTTCCTCTTCCCCAGGGCTTTGTGTCCAGGACGTCTGTCTTTCCCCTTGGGTTCTGATTGCCAAGGGAGCTCGGCTAGAATCGAGCGCTCTGGGAGGCTGCGGGAAGAGCATCGCAAGTTTGAGTCCAGTCTGGGCAACATAGCAAGAGCCTGTCCCAACCAACAAGCACCGGCAAAGAAAGATGCCGGGGAGCCGTGGTGTCCCCGCGGGTCCCGCGCTGCCCTCGACCCAGCCCGCCCGCTCCCTCGCACCTTTGAAGGTCATGACCGCGATCTGGACGCCCGCGCGGTGCAGCCGCCGCAGCCCCTCGGGCTCCGCCTTGCGGTCCTCGCAGAAGTAGAGGCGCGCGGTGAAGATGCGCAGGCTGAGGTTCGGGTTCCCGCGCAGGAAGTCGGCCACGTGCCGCGCGCAGTCGTAGCAGGGGCTCCAGGACGTGAACCAGGTGACGCGGTAGCAGCGGCCCGGGTCCAGGTCCCAGTCGGAGATGTAGCGCAGGAACAGCAGCTCCACGTGGCAGCCGGCCTGCGGGCACAGCGGGGCGTGGTGACCGCACGGCTCGGGGCGAGGCCAGCCGAAGCTCCGTGGAGCAGAGGCTGCGGCTCGGCCCTGGTTTGTGTGGAGGAGGAGATGCGGGAGCCGGCGCCGAGGTGTGCGTGGGCAGCGCTGTGGAGCCGCCGGCGGCCACCAGGAGGCGCCAGAGCCCGCGAGGTCAGTTGGGCCTCGCCCTGGATGGGGGGGATTAGGGCTGAGTGCGGGCCTAGGGAGGGGTCAGCGGCCAGGCTGCGAGGACAGCGGGTCATGAAACGCCGTCCCTGCCCACCTATGGGTCTGCAGTGCTCCCGCCTAGCACTCCGCCAGGACAGGAAGGCGTAGTTGGCTCCCTGCCCCACTGCTCGGGAGGCTGACAGGCTCCCCAGCTCGCGGCTCTGCAGTTTCCTCGTGGGAGAGATCAGCCCGGGTCGTGCGCAGTGCACGACCGCGGTGAGAGCGCACGGTGCACAGAGCCGCTGTGAGCAGCGCGTGCGTCCTCACGGGCAGGACAGAGACTGGGATGCAGCCTAGTGATGGTGAGCTCAGCTACTCAGCACAGACTGAGCGAGGTAGGGGACCTCAGGTGATCTACAGCAACAGGTGAATGACGCTCTGGGCCGCCAATCCTGCCCCAGGCTGTCACCAAGGCCTGATATCACAGCACTTTAGGACAGAGGACTGTCACAGAAGCTTATGCAAGTCCATCTGAATTTGGGAGCAGTCCTGGAAATGCCATTTTTTCAAGCAGCTCAAAGAGTGAGATCAGAACCGGGCTGCCATGGGGCAGTCCTGTGATCTCAGCACTCAGGAGGCTGAAACAGGAGGATCACTTCGAACTCAAGGCCAGTTTGGGCTATAAAGTGAGTTTGAGACCAGGATGATCTACACAGGGGACCTTGTCTCCGAAATAAAAAATCAGAAGCAAAACATCAACTCATCAGTCCTGATTTCTCAGTTTTCTGACCTCACCATAATGCATGCATTCAGTACCTATCATCTGTCAGAGTAGTGAGTAACAGAAATCATCTGGAAAACAACTGAAACACTCTAATTTTTGCATTCTTTTCTTTCCTTTCCATTTCTTTTCTTTGTCTTTTTTTTTAGTTTTTTTTTTTTTGTTTATTTGTTTTTGTTTTTGTTTTTTTTTTTTTGAGACAGAATCTCATTATGTAGTTTAGACTGGTCTCAACACAGTATATAGTCCAAGCTGGCCTCAAACGCATGCCTTAGCCCCTAAGTGCTGGAATTATGGGCATACACCCCCATGCCTGGCACTGTAATTTTTACTAATTTTTCTTACTTGATTTTCCGAACTTGTATAGGTACAGGTTTTCTTCTTTGTAGGACTGGAGACAGATTTCATGAGTAGAGCACTCACATAGCTTGTGCAAAGCCCTGGGTTCAATCCCCAGCATGACAAAAGCCAATAAGTAAATAGAGATAACATTTGCTTGAACAAGCTGATCATGTTTCCCCAGCCAAAATGCTCTTATCTTACTGTCAAGGCGACTTGAAGCCGTGGCCTGCAGGACAGGGGAGGATGGTTCATGACACCGTGTCTAACAGGTGCGCTTCCGTGTAGACAGACAGGGAGGGAGAAACGGGGCGTCGTGCCACGGGCTGAAAGGACCCAGTGCGGGCGCCTCCCGCAGCACCCAGGGGTTGGGTTTCCCTGCCAGGAACACCCAGACCCAGCCGGTACCTTGTTGCGCAGGTGGCCGAAGTCTAAGGAGCAGGAGGTGGCGCTGTCGCGCCGCTTCACCACGTAGCACAGGTAGGTTTCGTGCCGACCCTTGGCCCAGCGGACGTTCTTGAATTGGTACAGAAACTTCGTTCGCTTCATCAGGAGGCTGCGTGTGGGAGGACAGGGGAGAATACAGGTGGTGACCCTGTCGGGTGGCGCTGTCCTGCTTCGTCCTCATCACTATTACCCGGCAGTGCTGGGAGCGAAGCCAGGGCTCCACGGGGACTGGGCACCCCGCCCCGTGAGTGCCTGGGAAATGTGCAGTGATGGTAGGGGGGAGAGGGCGTTCCTGAGACCCGCTGAGCTTGGAGAGCACCGGAGACGCCCTTTGCTGCTCAACATGGAGAGCAAACGAGAAATCTCCACAAGAACCCTAAACCCATCTCCTCCCTCTGAGAGCCTCACAAGCGATCTCCTCCATGTTGGGGCTTGAAACTTGTTCTTTGATCTCAAGCTTACGTTTTCAGGTCTCCCGGGTCTGTATCTCAGAGCAACCTGGCCAAACAGGGTCCTAGCTGCAGGCCTGCCCTTGGTCACCTCAGCTCCTGCCACTCTTGCCGCCCGGAGCAGGAGCACGCTTTGACCTGTGTCTCTGTTTCTCAGGTGTCTGTGTCCTGTAAAGCTTTGATCCAATGAACTTGTTTTCCGTGCTGAGTGTGTGTGTGTGTGTGTGTGTGTGTGTGTGTGTGTGTGTGTTGCTAGGATTCACCCAAGGCCTTGAACATAAATGCTTTCCCACTGCCCCGTTAGGCTTTTCTTTTGGTAATGAGTCTCTGGTTCAGGAGTAGGACTGTCTGAAAAAAAATAATGTTATTCCAAGTTAAAACGAAGTGTGGGGAAAGCAACTTGGAGGACAGTGCAGTTTCAGTGGTGGAACCACGTGAAAACTGAAGTAAGATCCCCGACCTGTGTGAGCGACTGCACTGGCATAGCAAAGGCATGGGAGCAGCACAGGAAGCAGGAGGAGTGCCCTGTGCCTGGGAGGGCCAGCAGAGCCCAGGCAGCTGACAAGGCGCCACCTCCCGGCCCTCAGCTGTCACCAGGTCCACAGTGCTGGCCGCTGGCCCTTCCACAGCGATGTGCCCACTCTGCCACTCAGAGCCGTGTCACTGTCTCGCTGAACGCTGCTCATTCTCTTCTGCCCTGGGAGTCAGCCGCAGCCTTGAGAGCACAGTGTCAGGCAGCCTTTCTGGAGGGACCTGAAGGCAACATTTCTGCCATTGCCTGACACCTTTCCTCGCCCTCCCCTCCCGATGTTGGAGACCTGGAGCAGCTGGCTGCCAGCACCAGCCTGTGTCCCTTCAGCACTTTTTTCGCACCTCCCTTGATGACGGTTCACTTCTCCTTGGCTGAACGCTTTCCTGCTTGTTCCCTTTTGGTGGCACTAGGCTTTGAACAGTCTCGTGCATGTGCTCCACCACTGAGCTGCATCCCCAGGCGATCCAGACTCCTCCCCGCATTCTGCCCAAAGCCTATCTGTCCTTCAGAGCTACACCCATTTCAGGTCTCCTTCCTCGGAGGATCTTTCTCAGCCAGGAGTGGCAGTGCACACCTGCAAACCAGCACTCTGGGAGGCTGAGGCAGGAGGATGGTGACTTCCAGTCCAGCCTGGGCAACTTACTGATTTAGACACTGTCTCAAGAGCAAAGGGGCTAGGGGCTAGGAATTTAGCTCAGAGGCATACGTGCCTGCCTTGAAGCAGGTGGTCATGAGTTTGATCCTCCGTACCAGAGAAAGAAAAAAAAAAAGACGAAAAAAATTTAAAAAACGAGCAAAGAGGCTGAGTTTGTAAAAACGCAGAGACCTTAGGTTCAAACCGTGGTATCGTAAGCAAAGCAAAGCAGGAGCTTTCTCACCACTATTATCCCAAATTTTCTAAGCAAAAATAATTTCCTCTTATTTTCCAATTTATCATTTGCTGACATCTCAGTATCCTCAATTAAATATTTTCCATTTTGAGGTAGTGTCAAGGTTATGAATATGCTTTTAATGTGTAAGAGCAACACTTGATTATTGTACAATTGGAATATTCTAGAAAAGTAAGGTTTTAATGTTAAAGACTTAAGGTTTAGAAAGTCATAATGTCTAACAGTCATAACAAAGCATTGTGTGTAATGACAGTGACACTTAAGATTCAGTTTCTCTTCTAGTCTTTTTTATGGGTGCACAGTCACATGGTCATTACACATAAGAAACTCATACTTTATTGACTTTTTTTTTCCTCCCCGGCACTGAGGATTGAACCTGGGACCTCAGGCGTGCTAGGTCCGCACTGTACCGCTGAGCTACACCAGGAGCCCTTATGCTGGTCTCTTCCAGTGCGATAAAACGCTACTATTTTGCTGTTCTTCACCGTCACGCACAGGGACCCACAGCCACTTTATCTTCTGTACCTAGCAGAGGATCTTGTGAATCGGGAGCTCTGCATTGAATGGAATTGAATTGGATTGAATTGACAGAAATGTGTTCTGGCAACTCAGGTTTCTTTGAAGAAATCAATAGTGCTCCTTGCAGCGGAAAACACACTAACATAAGCTTTAGGCATGGTGCTAGCAAAACTAGCGGCGCCTCTAGTTCAAGGCCCTATTTGCCCAATTATTATCCAATTTGGGGGGTAACGCTGCCACCTAGTGGTGTCCGACAGAAGTGTAGAGCGCTTGTAAAATGAACCCTAAACCAGAATTTGAAGACGGTTTGCTGAAGAGAGAATTGAAACTTTGTTATTTTGTTGTTGTTGTTGTTACACTGAAGTACAATTTACTAACAGTAAACTTCACCCACAGTTCTGTGGAGATTGGCAGGTGTGAACAATCCGAGCTAACGCCCCCATGGGGTTGCTGATCATTTCCTGGACCCTGCCGCCAAGAGCCTTCAGCCCCTCTGCAATCAACTCCGCCCCCGGGCAGCCACTGACCGGCTATCAGAAACCCTGAGTTACCCTTCATGCAAGTCCTACATCGTCTCCTCCTCCGAGTCTCACTTGTTTCCTGGGCGCAGTACGTGGGACCCAACCGTGTCCCTGGCTGGAACCTTCCTGCTGCAAAGGGCGACGCTGCACAGCATGCATTGCCGGTTCGCTCCCGAAGGGGTAGGGGAGAAGGGCAGAATTTGGGCAACAAAACTGAGGGCTGCTGTGAGCACTCATGTGCCAGTTTTTGGACATTAGTCGAAAATTCATGCAGTACTTTAGAGCTTCTGATCAACCCCTGACCTTAGAAGACAGCCACCAATATGTCAACTTTATTCTATAGAAACTCTGTGACAAAGACCAACATCTAGGATAAGAGCCAGTATTGGTTTCAGTTTTACACTCAAGAAACTTAATGAAAAACGTTTTAAATTAAACCTTAAAACAGAGAAGATTTTTATCAGCATAAATATTATGTATATCAAAAAATATAAACATTGGTCAACCAAGACTGAGTGAGGTAGTACAGGCCTATAATCCCAGCACTCTGGGAGGCTGATATACAAGGATCTCAAATTTAAACCCAGCCAGCACAATTTAACAAGATACTGTGTCAAAATTAAACATAGGAAAGGGCTGGGATGTAGCTCACTGTGAAGGGTTGTAGTTTAATCCCCAGTACCACAAAATGTTAAAAATCCACCATATTTTTTTAAAGTAAAAGTAAATTAAAGTTCCCATCCTTAGCACATACCTAAAAAGCATAATTGCCACAAATACAAAATGGATACTAGCAAACTCCCAACAATAATTCATTTTGTTTTAAAATTATAACACTTTATTATGGTGATCATAATTTCACCATGACACTTACTATTACATAATTGGCATGCAATAACTCTTAACATATCTAAACTCAACACACAGTGGGTACTTAATTTGCACAAAAAAGAAAAGAATAATTTCTTTGAAACCTGGTCAGTTGTTTTTGTTTAAACCCAAGAAGTCCTGAGTTACAACCCCAGCAACCTTCTGTTTGCCTCCTTTGCTTGTTTTGTTTGAGACAAGGTCTTTTAAATTACCTAGTCTGAACTCAAATTTGTGATCCTCTTGCCTCAGCCTCCAAGACTACTGGAATTACAGGGATGCACCTCCATACCTTGTCTCCTCACTTTAAAATGTACTAAGCATCATCCCTTACCTGTAAGTTCCCTTTCTATTTAAATTGGCATCTAAGCCACAGAGATGAAAGTGGGGGTAAAAATTCTTTCAAGTTTTCAGTGCACGAGCCTGTTGCACTACAACCTCAGTCCTGGAAAACCGTCTTTCAGTGTACCATGGGTGATGCGTGTGTGTGCATGTAAGAAAGGAGAATCCTGGTATTAGAAAAGCAGGATGGGACACAGGTGAAGGGATTGGAGGGCCCGTGTCCTGTCCTGCCAGCCTCTCAGGGTAACAGGTTGACAGCTGTCACTCAGCTGTGTCCCCTGGGACAGAGCTGGAACTACTACCTAGTGATGCAAACCAGGGACAGATGGGTTAAAAATAACCCTGAGTAAGCCCCATCCAGCCATTCCCTGAGCTCCCCTGTGGGGCTGGGTTACTGCTTTCTTCTGTGGAATTCTCTGTTTTCTCCTTTCCTATTGGTCTTTGCATTTCCTCCTGTGTGAGTGTCACCACTGGCCCTGTGTGTTGGGACCTGAGGCCAGGACCTTGCACATGCCAGGCAAGTGCTTCACGACAGAGTCACAGCCCCAGCCCTGACATTAGAGTGCTTGCCTCTGAGGTCACATTCACTGTAAAAAATTAAACTAAGATGAAATATGTGGATTAGGTGTCATTCCCAGACATTCACAGTAATCGTGAAAATAAGAGTAGAATAAGCTCTAGGTTAGTGACATCTTAAAACTGCATGTGAAGACACGGTGACAGTCTTACAGCATCTCCATTTACGAGTTCAGGTAGATCATGTCTGAACAAATGGAAACATCAGCAGCAAAAATGCCTTTAGTTTCCCAACAGTCAGCGTGTAACAGTAAATAACGTGCTTCAGTGAATTCAAGCAATTAATCTTGCACGTCTGGTGTCTAAAAAAAAAATACCAGTTTCCTTACTCCAGCTACATTACTTCAATAACATCTCCTGAGGCAAGTCTGTCTTTGATGGCTTTGCTGCTGAATGCTTGCCAGATGATTATAAAAATGGCCACTACAGTTTTTAGTACAGTGCGACTGTGACCTTCTCGTGATTTGAGTCTGGAAAGATCTCCTGTTCAGGTCGTTACCATAAACCACTGCTAGTGGGGCCACAAAGCTCAACACAAGTCAGTGCCTCGCACACAGTGCATCTTCTGCAGCACAGAAGAGAGCCAGCGAGCGAGAGCACAGGGTTGGGCTGAGCGCAGGTGGACCTGACGGGGATTTGGGGTCCGTTCCACGGCAGTGGCCTGCAGATCCCAAGCCCAGGACTCAGCCCAGCTCCTCACCTGTCCATGGTGTTGTCCAGCGCGTCTTCCTCCCTCCCTGAAGTCTTGGCCAAGCAGATCTTGCCTCAGGCAATGCTGTCTTACAATGTCTGTCTGACAGAGCCTTGGCCACACAGTCAAATTTGAGCTTGCCCTGGGGCTCCTCCCCAGCCCGTTACCCACAGGTAGCCCAAAGGCCTGGGTTTGGTCCAGTGACAGTGGGCGGAGCTGTCACACAGAGTCAAAAGGGGTAAAGGGACTCAGCTCTACTCATGTTTAGGGTCCTTCAGGGTTGCTTCTCTAAAAAGCTAGTGCATGCAATTTGTTCCCCATGCGAATCACAGCCCAAAGGACATGGACATGGACATGGATTTATCTGTGCATATTTGTTTACTCCATTTTACAAAGCATATCCAGTACGATGTTGGCCGAAGCTAATAAATGCATTCATTGTAGGTGCGTATATGATAGCCCTTTGGGTTCTGAGATGCTTCCTTTGCAGTTTGTATATTTTACAGATCTCAGCTGGGCATGCTGGTGCTGTGGGAGGCCCAGGCAAGAGGATTGCAAGTTCAAATCCAGCCTGAACAGTTTAGCAACTTAGTGAAACCCTGTCCCAAAATAAAAAATAGAATGACCTGAGATGTAGCTTAATGTGAAGACACTGCATTTAAGTGTCTTTACATAAGCTGGAGAAAGGTTGAAATCTGAGCACACACTCAGAAATCTAGGAATAAATAAAGGCCATAAGATACACAAGCCTCCTCTTCCTAAAAATGAAAATTAAGGGAAATATTATTTTTAGTTTTAAAAAAAATTTAAGTGCTAGAAAACTAGTTCAATGGTAGAATACTTTCCAAGCATATGTGAGGCCCTGAGTTTCATCTTTAACATTGGGTAAAAGTTCCACAATGTCACGATAGTGATGGTCATGGTAGTAAATGAATAGGTAACATTTGAATAGAGAAGAAGGAACAGAGAATTCTTAGAGGACGGGCTAGAACAGTAATAGTGAATCTTTTAGAGACCAAGAGACCAAACTGTCACTGAAAACCCACTTAATTATCTCGAAATGCCAACATTGCAATTAAAACTGAATACTGAGATTTTAGTTTAGGAAAAAAATCCATATATTAACACTTTTTTGTCTTAAAAACACAGTGTCAAGAATTTCCAGTGATATAAACAGCTTTTTATTGAAAGGCAAAAGTTTCATTTGCTGTGCTTTTGCACATTAATGTGATTTTTGTTGCTGTACACATGCTGATAATTTGTCAAGGCTTGGCTCATACTTTGTTAGTCTGAGAGCAACACGTGCAGCACTCAGGTCACCTGTTAGTCTGTTTCTTGTATCAGATTTGATAGAATCCATAGCTGAAAACTGCTGCTCACAAGCATAAGATGATCCACACAGGCCAGGTGTGGTGGCACATGCCTGTAGTCCTAGCACTGGGGAGGCTGAGGCAGGAAGGTTGCTGTGAATTTGAGGCTATCTTAAGCTACATATTGAGTTCAAGGCCAGCTTAAACTGCATAGCAAGACCCTGTTTCAACAACAAAAACATGACCCAATAAAGTCAGAAAAGCAATCCCAAGTGCTTTCACTGACTTGAAGTAACTGGGCAGACAAAGCCACACTTTAAGGATTTCATTTTCAGAGCCACCAGTTGTGCTGTCGCTTGTCATCCTTCACGCTCAGTCTTCCCAAGTGTTGCATGCAGTTCATAGAATTTACTGTTCCAGATAGAGTTTTCTTGAAATTCTAATAGATCCATTTCTGGATGTCCAAAAATCTAACTGGTGTAAGCAGGAAAGATCAAGTTCTTCACATCTGGCTTTGTCTAGAGGAGAAAACACAGGGTTGTTTCCACCTTACAGAACCATAAAAATTGGCTACTGAAATCCTCCTTTGCAGGTGCTACAGTGATGGAAAGTTCCTTGGAGAATTCCCGGTGGCTTGTAAGATTGTCTGCAACTGCTGGAGAGTTTTTTAAGTGTATTTTTAGACTTGGAAAATATTTCAGCCCTGCACTTCCAAAGTCTGGGATGAGCTTGCTCATGTGCTGGCAGACAAAGAGGGCTCTGAATGCCTGGGGGACATTCGTGCCACAAGGCCACCACCACTGGTCCAGACTAATGGGAAATGGGTTTCATGGGGAAAGACTCCTTTCCTAGGGAGCTCACTTACCACCTCCTCAGCTAGTGTGTGAACCCGAAAGCTGCTATCTCCATTGTACATCCTGAGCCTGGTGGAATTTCTCTCCCTCCACAGGATCCAGGGCGGTACTGTGAGGATTTGCAGCTTAGTTGGTTTGAATGACTGCCCACAGCAAAGCAATGATGAGAAAAAATGTTGAGATGTGATTCACATTTTCCTTTGTCTTTTCTTTTCTCCTCCTTTCTAGTTTTGAGGGAATATATTGCACAAAGAAGCCACGTTTTTTTCTTCCTCCTTCCTCTTATTTTCTTTGTCTTTCTCCTTCTCCTCCTCCTGTTTTTTGTTTTGCTTGTTTGTTTGTGTTTTTGAACTGGAGATCCAACACACAACCTTGCATCACATTTACCAAGCAAGTGCTAGTGCCACTTAGCTCTATCCCTAAGCCCTCCTCCTACTTCTTAGTTTTTTTGGGTTTTGTTTTTTGAGATGGAGGTCTCACTGTGTACACCAGGCTGGCCTCAAGCTTGCAAAAATCCTCCTGCTGTAGTCTCCTGAGGGCTGGGATTACAGGCATGTGCCACCACACCCAGTCTGCTTTTGGTGTTTTGAGACAGGGTCTTGCTATGTAGCCCAGCCTAATTTAGACTTCTGACTCCTACATCAGGCTCCCAAGTGCTGCAAACACAGGCATGTTCCTCCACCCCTGCCTATATGAGCTTCTTAAGGAAAACTTAGAAAAATGAAATAGTCTGGCTATGTTGCCCAGGATGACTCTGCCTCCTGAGAAGCTGGAATTACATGTGTGTGTACCACCACACCCATCCTAAGGAAAAATTTCTAACAAAATCTACAGCCAAATAACTTCCATATAACTATAAAAAAAGTTTAAGTTACTGAGGCATAATTTTTAAATTATGTCTAGCATAAGAAAATAATTTTTTTGTTTTTGTTTTTGAGGGGCTGCCCTTGAAGTTGAGGTTTTCTTTCTGCCTCAGCCTCTCAAATGTTAGGCTCACTGGTATACTCCATCATCCCAGAAATAGTTTATTCCTTTCAAAATCCTAGTTCCTGTTCACCATTCTTCTGAAAGAAAATTGTTATCTCTTTTAATAACAAAAGAATTTTCAATTCCTGGAAATTAGCATGAGTGGAGAGTAAAAGCCAATTTTGAGCTCAGATGTAGTGTGTAAACCCAGTGCTTGGGAGGCTGAAGCAGGAGGAACCGTTGTGAGTTTGAGAGCAGCCTGGGTTACAAAGTGAGCTCAAGGCCAGCATGAACTACACGTGAGACCTTGTCTCAAAAAGAGCAAAAACAAAACAAAATACAATTTTGTTGGGTGTTGTTCAGCCCTCAGCTCTTTTCCTTACTAACTACCCTCACCTACTTAGTGAAAACCACAGCACAACTTACTTTATATTTAGTGAAGTAAAAAGAACATGACTTGGAAATCCCGGCTGGTCTCTCAGTCCTGGCCATCTGGACCTGACCATTGCTAACTGAGAGTCTGGCAGATAAGGTTTCATCCTGGTGATCAGAGGCCACCTGCAGGCGACACTTTTCCTGAGTCTAGTGCCAGCTCCCTGACAATAGGTGGCTATTTCTGGACACAGCTAGATTGCTCAATGTGATACTTTGTTGTTTTTAAAGGAACCTAAAAAGGGTATGTGAGGGTGAAAGTGTAGTTTTAGGAGTAACTCAACTTCTGCATTCCCCGATTTTTGTTTTTCTCAGTTTATTGCCAGGCACATCACTGAAGTGCTCTGGCGTCTGAGTGAGCGGAGGGACAGGGCTTTCATCACGTACAGGAATGACTCAGCTCCGCCACCAGCTGCCTGGGCTCTTTGAGGATGAGAGAGCAGTAAACAAGAGTTCTGGGCACTCGGGAGGCTAAAGGGCTACAGAACAAGTTATTTGTGATGGGAAAGTGAGCCAAGGAAGCTTCCCTGATCAGGCACATGCAAGGCATAGCTTGGAGAAGTAGGATAATCAAACACAAATAAATTTGAATTAAAAAAAATTTTTTTTTAATTTTGAGACAGTGTCTTGTTAAGTCACTAAACTGCCTAGGCCAGACTTAAATATGTGAAATATGGAGGGCCCCAAAGCCCTCCACATTCTTTTCAGTGACTAACCTCATGGCACGTTTCAGGTTTTGCATGTGTAAAATGTCAGCATATTAGTAGTCATACCTAACCTTTATTGCACACCTACTTCAGCCAAGTTCTGACATATTTCTGACATATATTATTTCATTTAAACCTAAGAGGTGGGAAATGTCATCCAATTTCCAGAGCACCGAGGCTCTCAGAAAGTTAGAACAGCCAGCTATGCTAGTGCACACCTGTAATCCTAGCACTGGGGAGGCTGAGGTACAGGACTGCCATGAGGCCGAGGCCAGCCTGGGCACCACAGCAAGACTCTGTCTCAAAATACCAAATTTAAAAAAAAAGAAAAAGAAAAAAAGCTAGGCATTGTAGCACACGCCTGTAATCCCAGCAGTGGGGAGCTAAAGCAGGAGGATCGCTGTGAGTTCTAGGCCAGCCTGGGCTACACAGTGAGTTCAAGGCCAATCTGAACTGCATAGTGAAACGCTGCCTCAAAAAGACAAAAAGCAAAAACAAAGAAAGAAACAAACAAAAACATAATATAATCAAGTGACTTAGCCTACTGTATAGATAACATTGCATAAACAATCCTCATATAAGAGTGGGGGATTTAGCTCAGTGGCATAAGTACCTGCCTGGCAAGGTGAGGTCATGAGTTTGATCCCTGGTACAAAAAAAAAATTTTTTTTAATGAAAGAATACTCATACAAAATATTATCTTCATTGTTATGTTTGGAAGACAATATATTACAAAAATGAGAATTGTAACCGCCTCCAAGTTGTCTGCTCCCATGATTTGGGGCTTTCTGATTGATAAGAAAATGTGGTGAGCAGAGTAAAGGATCTCACGTTTCTGCCTGAGCGAG